GAACCTTTACCCTGGCAAACTATAAAAAATAGTAAAAAAAAGTAAACTAGTGGTGCATGGCATCGTGCCTTAAGGCAAATCGCTGAAATTCCCCGTGCCCCGTAAACATTCGAGGAATGAAAATAATCAATAATCAATAAAAATACTCAATAATTAAAAATAAATTAATGACAATTGTTTTAAATATTTTCAAATCGATATTTATTAAAATACATACTGTAAACTTATAAGTGCTTATTTAAATTGGGCAACGAGCGTATTCTACAAACAACTTACAACTCACAAGAAATTTGTTCAATTTTTTTTAATTGATTATTTTGGTAATTTTGAATGTTTTTCAAAATTTGAAAATTTTATAAAAGTTCGTTTTTTTTTTGAAAAAAAAAACGATTTTATTAAGCACTTATAAATTTACAGTATTTATAATAATCTACTTAAAATATGTGAAACAATTGTTATTAATTATTCAATAATTTTTATTAGTTATTGATTATTTTTATTCCTTAAATGGTTAATTAGAGTACGGAAAGTTCCAGCAATTTGCTTTAGGAAGTCACAAGGCCATGCACCACTTAAATTTATTTTTGCAATAAAATTAAAAAAGCTCAAAATCATTTATGATATTCTAAGATTGATATCTATACGCTCAAATTATTAAATATACAGTTCATTCATTTACCTATAATTTTTAAGATATTTTAACGCGTATAAAAACGTTCTGAAGGAGCTGGGATTTGAACCCAGGACTTCCGCATACAAAGCAAATCGCTCTTTGTTGATCCGTGTTCCCAAAATTGTCTACGAAAATTTGTATCCGCACACACACATACATCAATTTTTTCTAAGGTATGCCAAAATGTTCAGAAACCTTTCAAACTTAAAGATAAGCAAAAATTTTAATTTTCGATTTTTTTGCGATTACTATAACTTACCCTACGGCAAGTTAGTAAATATCTTATATATAATCTGTAGTCAAACTAAAAATATTTAAAATATTTAGATGGTATTTGAAAGTTTAAACTTTTAGAGAATTAGGCATTTGGCAAAATATTTCATTGAAAATTTTGCGAATATTGGAAACTTTTGAATGCTTTGAGCAATTTAAATAAATAACACCCCCAGAAAATCTAACAGTTCTAATAAGCTGAATTTATTAAACCTATGAAAAATTCTGAAACTTATACGACGCTGACAAATAAAGGGTATGGGCGCATTGCCATACAGAATCGGCCCCACCCTGGTATTTGAATAATTTATACGCCATTTTATAGGTCTATTTGCTAAAAACCGATATACCAATTTTCAACTTTGTACCTCATCTTATGGCCGAGATATCATTGAAAATATGCCAAAGTGGCCCCTTCTTTAAACTTACTTTTTGGCGCAACCATAAAAGATATCAAAAAAATTTTACGTGATTCTACTCACATTGACTCAGACCACATACGTAGAACAATCGATTCCAAAAAATCGTTTACTATTAGCTGAAAAAGACAAAATAATTTTTCAATTGATTATTTCGGGTAGTGCATTTATTTGGACCACTTTCTAATCAGCGTTATTCGAAAGCCTATTGTTTTTTCTTTGAGTACTGCAAATATTGTTCAAATCAATTTAGTGGAACACATTGGAAAATTGAAAAGAACAGAGCAAGTACACCCGCGCGTAACACTAATAGTACCCTGCAATTGCATAGAGTTCGTTCGGACGCAAAACAGTGCGCGATGCGCCGAAACGATTCTTAAGAAATTCTGAATGCGAAAATATTTATTTTATAGTTATATATGTATAAATTCACGGAGTTTGAAATTTTTAGACATTATTAGTTTTACTATATTAATTAAATCACTAAAACTAGTGGTGTATCGTGCCTTAAGGCAAATTACTGGAACTTCCCGTACTATAATGAAATAAGAATATTGAATGCTTTCAAATATATTATTATAAATACTGTAACTTTTATTATTCGAATTTATAGACAAAATAAAAGTGCTCTTAAATTGAACGATGGCGTTTAAATATGTTAGCCTGAAAAGTGAATGAACAAAACTTAATGAAGCGGAGTTAGAACGAAGGATATTATCTAAGAATTGCATAAAATGAATAGCAAAATTAAAATTATTTATTTGATTCGAATTATGTTTGATAATAATTTTGAGAATTAAAAAAAATATGTTTTTTTTAAAAAAAAAAAATCTTGTCGTCCAAAAAAGCAAAAGCTTTTTTGATTCATTTAAATCGGATTTTTCGTTCTCTTGAAAACTCGGTTTCTATCTTTGCTCCGTATCTCCGACTTGTATTTGTTAAAAACTAATCAGTAGGTCTCCTCATCAAAAGGAATCGAATGTTCATTACATCATTCATACACGAAATATAACACAAATACACATACTCACATATAATTTTTTTCTATTGTATTCCAAAATGTTCAGAAACCTTCGAAACGTGAAGATGTGCAAACATTTTCGATTGCGATTTTTGAA